TGCTATATTTTTAAATGAATCTGAAGAATTACTTCAGAGAGTTTTTTAGATTTGTTTACTATATAAGATATTAGCAAGTAGTAAATATTATAATTTATTAATTGACCAATTTAATAATATAGAAAGAAATTTATTTTTAAGAAATTTTAACAAAAAAAATGATTAGAAAATAACTAATCTATTTTTAAAATACTATTTTTTCAGATATTAAAAATGAGATTGAATCTAATATAAATACTTGTAAGTATATTTTAATGAGACTTTTAAATTGTAAAACTAAAATATTTATTTAGAAATCTCAATAAATATATCAGGTAAATATATTTTTTTAATCTAAAATGTAAAACCTGATATTATTAATAAAGATGATGTATTATCCTTTCAATTATTTACTTATAAATTTATAGGCAATTTTATTTATTAATTACAATCATTTTTAATCATTTTTAAATATTTTATAATATCTTATTAAAAAATTAATACATTTATAATAAATTTTATGATATTTTTTAAGTAAAAATTAAAAAAATGTAATTAACTAGTGATTTTTTAAAGATAAATAAATAATAAATTATTATAAAAAAAATTTTAAATTTTAAATTTATATATCTTTATTATCTATTAATCTTAAAAATATAAATACTATTATTTAATAGATTTTAATGAGATGAATCCAATAATTAATTTTATATTTTTATAATTATTATATAATAAATTATTTTTAAAAATAATTTTATATTTACAGTTTAAGAGGTAAAATAAGGTATTTTGCACTTTTATTATGAATTTATATTAATATTTAATTTAAATTATATAGTTTCTAATGTTTAGTAAGGCTTTATAACTATTAAATAAAAAATAAAAGGTTTTTGTAAGAAATTTCATCTTTTAATAATATTTTTTATAAGTTAGCTTGTAAGTTAAATTAACCTTCATAAGGTATAAAAAATAATTATTATATATATATATCTATACTATTATTATAAAAATTTAATTCAACTTATAAGCTAACTTACAAGAAACACTATTTTTAGAATTAAATACAAGTATATAAAAAAGAAAGAAAAATTAATTATAAAATAAAACTTATTATACAAATTGTATTATATATAATAAATTAGTTTTAATATAATTTTATTAATACAAATAATATTTGATAAAAGTTAATAATGCTTAATGATAATTTTTGTCTGATAAATAATTTATTTAGTTATTATTTATTATAAAAATCATAGGATATTAAATAATAATAATTATTAATCACATATTTCTTTAGAATCTTTTTTGATATTAAAATAATATTTTAAAACATTTAGATAATATTGAAATATTTAGTTAACTAGAGTTAATCAATCTTTTGATCAAGTTTAAATATTAAATTTAAAAAATAAGTAAATGTAAATAAAATTAGAAATTGATAAAAACTTAGTTTTCGTTAATAAATACTATCTTATGTCTTCAAATTTAGAGATCTTTACATAAGTAAAAAGTAGTTAAGCAATAATTAGTAGATTTAATTTATAGTAATAATAGCTTATATTATACTATGCAGTATTATCCAATTGAGTATCATTTAAGATAGAAGTTAGATTAATTTTTGGGTGAATTTAATGATATAAATACGATAAATCACTTACCTTTCTAAATTTTATATAATAGTAACTCTTAGAACATAAGTTTTATAAAGTTATTTTATTTTAGATCTTTCTAATTATATATTAGTATATTTTAATAATAGGCAAAGAATATAGTAATTCTGATTAGTATTGATAAAAATAGAGAAGTGATAATCTTTATAGCTGAAAGTAATTTTTTTATTCAAATTTAACAATAGTTTTTAGAGTTTAAAGATCTTAGGTTTAGATTTTAGGTATTTATAATTTAGTAACAATTCTTAGATTGGTATCAATTGATGAGTTCTGGTTTGAATTTAAATTCAACTATGATCTTAAAAGTCTAAGATTATTATTAAAAGTAATCCAAATAAAATTCATATAATTGTTAATAATTTTTTAGTGTTTAGGTACTGAAATTAATTATGTAAATCAGTTAAATATAATCCTAATTATATAATAATAAAGAAAAGTTATGCATAAATTTAATATTTAGAAAGAAATAATAGGTTTGTCTTAATTCTTAGTAAATTTAATAATTTATAATTAATTATTTCTAGAAATTATTATATAAATCTTAATTAATCTAATAAATTAATAAATTTATCATAATAATGAAAATATTGAAAATCTCTTTGATATGTTAAAGTTAATAGTGAAATTTGTAACATTTAGTACTAATTATTACCTGTAATATAATCACTTTAATTACTTTTAAATAAAATAAATAAAAATTTAATTTTTATAAAATTCAGTATAATATAATGTAAATTTGTTATAGTAGTATATTGATTTATTTATTATAATATTATTGAACTTTTATATGATATCAAATTTATTATATTGAGAGCAATCAATTTAAAAATACTATTTATTAATAAAAGGTTTTATTATTTATTAAAAAAATAAAATGAATTATAACTTACAATCAATAAAAGAATTTAATTGAAGGATTTATATTAATAATTATATTTTAAGTAATTTAATTAATATAACTAATATCATTTCTGAAAATAAATATTAATTATATCTTTTGTATTATTATACTTATTAATCATTTATAAATATAAAAATGTAAATATTCCTTGATTTAATAAATTTATTAATTAATAAAATTTTATTTATTAAATAATTATTTTTATATATTATTTTAAAATTATTATAAATAATTTTCGTTTGCACCAATCCCAATCCTACAAGCTAATACACAATAACACCATTGGTACTAGATATTTTTATTTTGAAGTTTATATTGAATAAAATGAATACTATGAGTTTTTTTTTAAATGTTTCTATCGGAAGGAATCAACAATATTTGTCCATTATAATTATCATCTCCGGGAGTTGGTATTACTTTACCTTGATCTTGATTGCGTTTCCATTTATATAAAAAGAATGCACCAACTGATAATAAACAAATAGCAGCTAAAGATCCTGAAATTGCACCAATTATAGCAATTTTATTATCAGATTGTTTTTGCGGCGCTGGTATAATTGTTTGTATCGGTGAAGGAAGTGAAGGAGACGTGTCATTTGAATTTTGAAAAAAGTTTGTCCATTTATATTCATCATTATTACTAATATCAAGTAGTAGAATATCACTTTCAAATTCAGGATTATAATCATTTCCTATTAAACGCAAGGTGGTTTTTGTATTTTAATTAAAAAATTTGTGAATATTTTAAAAAACAAATAATAAATAATTACCAAAAGATATAACCATGTATTTTCCGATTACATTTGCTCTATGACCATGTCGATTAGTAGGCCTTTTTCCAGTAACAGTTGGAATGGACCATACAAAATTGGTTAAATCCAACACATAAAGTGACTCGGTATTTTCTTTAACATTTAAACCACCAAAAATTATTACACGTTGACCGTCCAGTCCTATTAAAATTTAGAGAATAACCAATTAATTAAAAAATTCAAAAATTAATTGAAACCATTTAAAATGCATACCAGGGACGGCTGAAAAACTATTTCTATCAGAAGGGACTAATCCTGAAGTCGTCTATATTAAAGCGAGACAAATAAATCGCATTCAATTTGTTATATTATTATAATAATTAATTCATATTACATACTTTTGTTGTCCAAATATCATTAACAGTATCGTATAAATGAACATCTTTCAGCGAAATAAGTGTACTATTAAAAATTCCACCTAAATAAATAATATTTTGATTTGGTAAAATGGTAGAACCATAATCCTCTCTAGCGATCGCATTTTTGATACTTCCTCTTCCCCAACTAAAATTTATCGTATCTAAAATGACAAAATCAAGTACATCGCTACTATCTGTAAAAGAGAATCCACCAAAATAATATATTTTTCCTAAAGCATCGACACTAGCACATAAATTTGTTTTTCTAATAACATTTCCCGTAATTGCGGGAACGTTCCATGAATTCATTTGGGTATCAAAAGTGTATACCAATTCCATATTATCACCATTTGACGTTCCTCCGTATAAAAACAAAGTATTTTTTTTTAAACCACCATTAGCCGTTATGCCATCAAAATGCGATGGAACTTTATTAATGTTTGTTAAATCTTTCCATGTTAATTCTTGATTATCAAATGAAGCAGAAAAGTCGAGATAAAAAAACTCTTTTCCAATCGTATTTGCTGATACTTTTGTTGATAGGGTTAAACCACCCATGATATAAAGTTTATTATCGATAAACGTCGCAGAATGTTCATACCGTTTTGTTGGAATGAATTGTGAATTTATCGAATTTATCAAAAATAATAATTGCAACGTAATATAACATGTCAAATATTTCTTTAGCATGATTATGGTTAAAAGAAAAAAAAAAGTATTTAAATTCATTAAAATTTGTCCCAGTGTTATTTATAATATGAAACATAATGAAACACTATTACTTTTGTGTATTACTTTTGTGTACGATAAATAAAATGGAAATCACGGCTCATTAAATTTATCACGTGATTATATTCATATCCGATTTTCGATTTGTCAGTCGTATAAAAAAGATTATAATTCGTTTTTTTTTTTTTTTTTTTTTACGAAGCAGCTCGAAGTGTATTTTTAATTTCGTGTTTGATCATCATTTCTATCTCATTTTTTTTTAAATCATTGATGATCTTGGAACATTCCCTCGAATTATTCGAATTATTCGAATTATCCGAATTATCCGATCCTTTCATTTGTCAGCCAATGAATATCCGTTGTGTGACGTAAATTATCATCAATCTGATTCCAAGGAAAAGTAAATGATTTTGAAATGAAAATGGGCTAAATAAGGCTTTTATCCTATGCTGTGCAACAAAAGATCAGATGGACAAGAAAATAATAAGTTCAGAATGTTACTTTGTAACATAATGTGACAAAATGTATATGGAAATGATATCATGAGAAAATGTGCACGATTTCGGGTAATTATGCATATGATTTTGGACATTTTAGTAAACAAACTGTTGTCGGGTATAAATAAGCCTGGGAAATTTCGGCAAATTTCGGTCATTTTTTTTTTTTTACTTTTTACTCGAACGAAAAACAAAAAAAAAAATTTATATATTTTATAATGCGTTTCATTAGACCAATTTTAACTTTAAAAAATTTATTGAAAAAACCGCAAACCGCTGGTCATATTACAAGGTTAACAACTGTTATAAATCGTCATGACTTTCATAATAAAACAAGACAATTTCATGGTTCAGCATTCGTAAAATACGCGTCTCCAACCACAGAAGAATTACCCATGCGTATTTTACTTCTTGGTAGTCCGGTATGTACTTTTAGCAAAATGAAAACAATTATTAGGAATTTACTCGAAATATTAAATTATTTTGTTTTGTTTATTGAAGGGTGCTGGAAAAGGAACTCAATCCTCTCGCATACAAAAAAGTTTTAATATTTCAGCCATAACTAGTGGCGACCTTCTTCGTCAGAATATAGCAAATGGTACAAGAGTTGGTAAAATTGCTGCCAAGCATATGGAATGTGGAGGTAAGGGGCTATTTATTGAGAATCTATGAAATCCTTTAATTGGAATTTCAGAAAAAAAAAAGTAAATTGCGAGAAAGGATTGGGTCGTCAGAATATGAAAATGTGGAAAACCAGCTTCACTGGTATCTATTTGTGTAACTTCAATTTGGAAAATATTTAAAACATTTTTCATTGTTCTGACATTCGAATTTACTGTTTTCAATTCTAGCATATGTTCCAGATAATATTATGATCGAATTGATCACTGATGAACTTCAAAGATTTAATCGTCAGGTATATACGGTTTAGTGAGCGTATTAATGTTTATTCGAAAAAAAAAAAAAAAAAAAATTATTTTTAATACGTCTTAAAATAGAACTGGCTATTAGATGGATTTCCACGAACCATTAATCAAGCGACATCCTTGGATGATAATTTGTCTTTATCGGGTCAACCTTTAAATTTAGTCATAAATCTTCATGTACCTGAAGAAGTTATACTACAACGTATCATGGGTATGTCGATAATAATGAAATTTTATTTTACCATTGTGATTTTTTTTTTCCTATTGCGTTTTGCGTTTTAAACTTAATTTATTGAATTATAAGATCGATGGGTTCATGTACCATCAGGACGCATATATAATCAAAGTTATAACCCACCTAGAATACCTGGGCTCGATGATATCACCGGTGAAAAATTAACAAAACGCGCTGACGATAACCCGGTAATTTTCATAATTGATCAAAATAATCTTTGTGAAGAATCAATCTATTAACATTTGACATTATTATCATTAAAAGGAAACGTTTAAAATTCGATTGCAAAAACATCATGAATTAACCGATCCACTATTGGAATACTATGATAAACAAAACATTTTAATCACTTGTACTGGTCGCACGAGCGATGAGATTTATCCTCAAATCGAATCTGAATTAATTTCTCGATACAGTGGTGGAAAAATTATTCATCATGAAAATCGAGTTGTTGATATTCGCGATGATGACCTCGTCGTTAACGAGGAAAAACTTTGAATATCTCAATTTTTAGTTTATTTAGCGTAAAAAACAGTTTTTTAATTCTCGTTTTGTATATTTTTTTTTTCCATCTTTGGCTTTACTTCTTGCTTATTATATATATATATACACTGTATATATGTATGTATATACTTAATTACATAATTTTTTTTTAATGCCGTTTTTGGCACAATTTTTTTTTTTTTTTTGAATTTGTATTTTAAGTCCTCATATACGTAAGCATCTCGACGCTTTTTTAAAAATTATGTATAAAATTTTCATTTTTAAAGAGTTTGTATTTATTATGGTTTTGTATTGTATATCTGATAGTTAAGAAATTATTTGACGTGTGGAATTTTTTCCTGAACTTATTCATTTTTTCGCTTGGTTTGGATTTTTGACTATTTAAATTATTGTGTGTTTTTCATAAATAAAAAAATCGAATGTTCGGGTTAGATGATTAAATTTGTGTGATATCAGATCATGTGACGGTAATAAATGTCCCGAATCTTTTAATGGCGCAACACAGCAAAATATTTAGCCCCTCAATTTTTAATGAATTAATGTAAATTTTAGTCCAAAAATAATATTAGACTTTATATCAAATTACAAAATTCTCCTTAAAATAATATACTCGATTTAAAACTTACTGTAAATGAATGAGTTAGAAAAAATAAATCCATAATGAAATATGGCGAGTGAAAATAAATTTAGGATAGGAGATGTAAACTGTGCAGTGATGGTTGAGAAGTAGTAAAAGTTTTTATTTGGTTTTATTGGAAACATTCAAATATATGACATAAAATTTTTGAAGGCAAAGCACACAACAATCTTTTTTAGATAACTTACAAATAAAGCATTTATATTTATTGTCGACAAATTGAAATTCAAGATACCAGCCGTTGGAATCGGACTCGACGACAAAGTCAAATCTGTGAAAACCATGATAGGATATTCGAGTATTCGTTTGCAAATACTGTATATAGAATTAAATACTCCGATCTATTCGAATATCGAAAATCATTTCAGAAAAAGACCTTCGTCCGAAGAAGACTTACCTTAGGACTTGTAGGAAAAAGAATATTCCAAACAGAAATAAAATAATAAAAATAATAATCAATAATAATCAATAAAAAGTAAGAAAGAAAGATACCATCCGAAAGAAACCTTCATAAACTGATTCAAGTTAGCAAATTTTACTTCTGACCAAAAATTCATCGACTAAAATGATCGAAATTTATTTATATATATATTATAGTCTTTCGCAATTTATTAAAGTAAAAAAATTAAATATTAAGTTGTCAATATTAAAATTATGATTGTTAATACTTAAAGAGATGCGACTTTGGTCAGCGGCTGAGTCGCTGAGAAGGTCTAAAGGCTGTCCACTAATTTGAAATATCCACAAGCTTCGGATTACAGGATTTGAAAGAGATCATGTGGCGCACGCAATAGAGATAAAGTTGAATTTTGTCATCAAAGTATTTATTTGCCTATATAAGTTGTACTTTTCAGTATATTTGACATTTGATTTGGTCCTATTTCGAAAAAGCCACGGGTAAAATTTTTACCAATCCATTATCCAGTCGAAAAAGCCACGGATAATGATTTTAAAGAAATTTTATTTTGTATGAATTTGCACCACGTAATAACAACCTGGTTATTAGTTGGATTAATTTAACTATTTATGTTCCGGTACGGTATGATTTGTAATTTCGAACGGGACGCAAATGCGGCCCAGATTTTGCGGTATTACACCTATTGGGCCAACAATTCCAACAATTATTTGATAAATGTAAAAGGAAATGACAATTTTTTTTTTCAACAGAATTATTACTTTTAGATAGATTTCTTAACAAAATATCGATCGCGCCTTAATCACTTGTCGAAAATAGTACTAGCGATATGGAAGACAAACCGCATAACGGTAAACCTATTACTATGACGGAAGTATCACCAAATGCAAAGGTACATTGTTACTTATAGTGAAGAAGACCAAACAATTGTCTGGTGGGATGCTGGTATAGAAAAAGGCAAGCTTGAGCCAATTAAACCTGCTGAGAGAGAGCAATTCCACATTTTACGCATTGAAGACGAAAGAGGAAAAAATTGTTCAAATGTGTATTTCTGATAATAAGGAGCTAGTATACAGTAAACTTGAATATGGTTCATATGTTTATTGTGATAGTAAAATTGACATACACAAATATTTAAGTAAGTGCAATTATTAGCTTGTTATTTTACATATATATAATTTATAATTGTATTTTATTTATTTAGAAATCATTAATATTAATAATACAGTTCAAGAAATAGAATTGTATTTTAAACATTATATCAACATATTTAATTGTAACTTTAACACGAGAGGAGAATTTATTTTATATAGTAAAATTGACCATCCAAGTAGGTCAAATATTATTTGGATTTATTCAACTCAGACTAAAAGTAACAAATGGATGTGTCAAAATGTTTATGAAGTCCCTAAAGAAGCGGAGCTAGTAAGCATATCTAAATATGATAAAATTTGGCTACGTATCAATAGCCGCATATGTGAATGGGATATCGTTACTGGTAATGCTACATTTATGAAAAATTTATATGAGGTAATGATCAATTATTAATTTTCCTTGTTAAATTTTAGATACAATATTAATAGACCAATATTTAATAGGTTTGAAGAGGAAAATATGAAATATATTCAAATCTCTAATAGTGAAAAGTATACTTGTCTGAAAACAAATCATAAAATTATCGTTTATTCTAAAACAGATAATCTGAGAGTATCGTTGGATTTAAACGATGGTATTATTTTTATCTTAAATAATTTTATGTAACGTTATCATAAAATAAAATTCTTAAATTTTTTTTTTTTATTTTTTATTATAAGAACAACGACTATATAATTTTATGAAACGTACTGGTTCACATTGTTTCTTGCTTAATTTCTTTAATTATTATTCAAATAATGAAATTTGGAATTTTGTAATTAAATCCTGTTGGAAGACTTATAACCTATCGACAGAGGAATATATCCCCGAGTATTTGTCGAACATACCAATTTTATTTCATGAATTTCATATGTTTGTAATTATGGAAGGGCATGTTTGGAAAATTAAATTTGACGAGTTAAAATTTGATATTAATTTTTTATTAGAGGAAAATACCGAATAAAATTTTTGCTTATTAATACATTTGCCAATAATTTGCTTAGTAATGCTTATCGTAATATCGTTA